AAAAAAAAACAAGAAGAAATATCTAACCGACCTAAAACTTGTGTTTTAATTTTTTTTTTTTTTTTCTCTTTTGCATTCCCTTAGTCGATCCTTACAGCAAACTGCTCTTAAAATAACAATAAAGGAAAATGCCACGTGAATTTTACAGTTTTTAAATACGGATCTGGCTTTCAAATATATATATATTTTTTTCCGATTTTATAGTTTGTAATCAGTATAGTGTTACTTTTTTTTTTTTCTTTGTAAATACCATTTAGATAGTCTTTTACATATTTTTTTTTATTTTTTAAACCACATCAGCGTTTCTGTTATATTTTTGTCGTGGATAAATAAATGGTTCGCCTAAGATATCAGGGAGAGTTCCACTGCGTTACACGTTAAATCGCCTGCAGGTTGATCGTCCTTTAAAAGCTATAATGGGATCACAGTTGTGTATAATGCAAAGAAAACCGTTTAACGTGTGCACTAAAAGTCCTCGATTACATTCTCAGTATCTATTTAGGCGTGATGGCCAAATTAAAGATCATGTACGATCATAACGTCAACCAGGCGCTTGTCGTTCCTTTATCAGGAAAAGCAAATGTCTCAATGAAGGAACTAGCAGACTTGCTTGACCATCTCCACTAGTTTCTCGCTTCTGTTATACGGCCTGAGGGCACATTCAATTTTATTGAAGGTAGCCACTGTTTGATCTTAATTGATAACGTATATATGTCTTTTTCAGTAATCACAATGAAAATTAAGAACACGGGTATGCAAACTGACTGAAAACAAACGCGAGGGCTGTCGATCTGTCTCTAGCCTGCAGAACAGGCGGATTAGCAGGGAAGAGAGCGAAAGGCGATAGACAAGCGCGAAGCGCGAGACGAAAAAAATCCCGGATTTTTTTCGTCTCGCGCTTCGCGCTCGTGTATCGCGTTTCGCTCTCTATCCCGCTAATCCGCCTGTTCTGCAGGCTAATCTGTCTCTCGATTCCGTGATCAGTCGCTATATTCTTTTAATAATTACAATCTTTGACAGGTTTCTTTGTAGTATTCATAGAACATAAGGGGCATGATAAGTGTGTTTCCCCTCACGATGTTTACTAACACTTAGTCCATGCATGTACAAACTCGATACAAAATGCAAAATTGAGAATGGTCAAAGCGTATTAGGGCACAATATCAATGCCGCGATGGAGCGTGTATATATATATGATAATAATTATTATTTTCTTTTTATGAAAGATGCATTACTTAGTGATTTTCGAATTGCATGATTTGCCAAGGTCACGTTGTGGCTTTTTTAATTGATTGAAACGTTTCAGTTTGGAAGTGTAACGAAGTAAACCTGACGTGGGGGCTTTCATACACAAAATAAATACTGTAACTTTTTGATGCAATGTTTATTTAGCCCCCGTGCAGTGATATGAAAGAAAAAAAAAAACATACAAATAAGCCATACACGACTTGGAAAACCCTAATCTTAATCACGTTCACATAAATTAAAACTGGTCTTTAGGTCGTCTTCACCTCGCTTAATGCAATACAAGGCTCAAACAAGAAAAATAAATATCATTCTGACATGTCCCCTTCAATCAATCAAATGACGTGCAAATTGTCAATTTTGAATATATATGCGAAATTTGAATCAAAATGCAAGATGTGTTATTAAATCGAGCTGGTAGACTATTTTAGGCTACAAATCACTGCATGAGATTGGAGCCAAAAGAAGATTATATGACAACTCGTGGTCAACCCTGAACCGGGTTTCCCTCCTTGTTCGTCCTCTCTGCGATGTTCTCACAAATAGGACCAAAAGACTTTTAACGCAGCTCGGCTATTTAGCACTGAAATGATAAAAAGGTGTCGGTCTACATTAGAGCTTCCGTTTAAACTATTCAGCCCAACTTCAGATAAGGTTAATTTTGTGCTATTCAGTGCTATTCTGTCATTAACATCGGAAGTGATTTTATAGCTGAACAAAGGTAGCATGTCCTCAAAACGATTTTTCTAAGCCCCCAACGACTATATAATCATTCTTTGCATATTTATTTGTTTGAGCAGCTGCCTTAAGTGTCCACACGTCAGCGTTTTCCACTAATGACATGGTACGCATGTTTGCAGAGTGATGTTGATAAAGTACGAGAAAGCCTTGAAAGCATAAGTTTCCGTTGTCACTGCAACAGCACCCTTCGTATGAGAGTCAACGCGAGCCAGAATACATGCACAACGGCACAATACTACATACCATGCTCATTTTTCTGGCGATCTTCCTTTTGGCGACAAATCAAGGTGAAGTACTCGGCAGTTTTTATTTCTACTCCCCCCTGAGGACAGTATCACAGACAGTATAAAATTGCCTTGGTCAACGGCCGGTTAAATCATTTTGCTGCTAATAATAACCATTGGCTCATCATATCTGACTGCTAACTTGAGGCAGTCATTTCCCAGTCTTAATTAATTAATGATATCTTTGAAAAAGAAAAGTTGAAACGAGCAAATTTAAAGTGCAGCTTTCTTTAGGAAGATTTGGCCAACAAAACACAGGTATTTAAAATCACAGACTTTATGTCTTCAACTTCGTCATGCATGGACAAGCATTTTTTTATTTTTCAGATATCAGCAGCAGAAAATTGATTTTTTTTTTTTCCGAGTGTCGCTGACCACGAATAACAAAATAGGTTTAAAAACTGAACACAAAATTTAGAGTAAAGTTAACCGGTTGGTTTTAATAGTACTATCCTAAACGTTTTAGAATGCAGTTTAAGGAAAGAATGTGCCGAGCTGAGCGTAATCAGTGAAGATCCCCAACCGAGTTTCACATGTCGGCTATCTTAAGATCATTTCATGATCATGCACCCAAATATCGTCTTCTTTCTGTTCTGTCTTTTCCTAGCTGGTTTTGTTTTCACTGATTAGGGACTGAAAAATAAAATGCCGAAACGAGGGTATCTGAATGGATCACAGACATTATGCAAAATCTGTCATCTGAGTATTTAAAGAACATATCTTAGCAACATCTGTAATCCGATTGGTTTCCTTGTTTTTCCCTGCTGCAGTCTCGACACTTCCAAATGATATCTGCGGACTGCGAAATCCATTGTCACGTATTGTAGGAGGAGAACACGCCAAACTCGGTTCGTGGCCTTGGCAGGTGGAGCTCTTGATGTTGAAAGGAGACAAGAAAACATTCGCCCATCGGTGTGGAGGGACCTTGATTGATAATGAATGGGTGGTGACCGCTGCCCACTGTGTCTTTATGTATCCTTATCCCACCCATTACAAAGTAGTATTAGGTGAGAACTTGCTAATGGTATAGGAATACCAGGGTTTTTTTAAGTTTCCGCTGATCGTTCTTAGTATCTTCTTACGCTGTAAAATATCCTCGAATTCGTTTGTTGTCTGTCAGTATTTATTCGACAGAGGCAGTCAGTGGGGCGACCATTAGTGACATTCAAACCTTTTTTTCAAACAAATCCTACTTATCTTTTTGGTCAGGATCAGAGAGGAACGTAAACTCAGTTGTAATGTGGATGAGCAACTGAATTCAAGTCTTGTTCAGTAAACGAACGGTTAAAATGGATGCACGTCAAAACAGTTAGTGAGTCAAATCAAGCAGAATTAGAAACTTGTATTTTAGAAATTGTCAAAGCTAAATTAACTGCCGGGAAGAGTTTGTGAAGCATTCGAGCGTTGGCTCTTCTGAAAATAATTTAATGCATTATCCGCCCTGACGTTAACGTTTAATATAATTTTATCAGCTTCAGTTAATAAATGGCTATAACCAAGAAGTCGATGCTCTCGAAAGCCAACCAGGATTTTCAATTTACACGAAATGTATGTGATAACACGACAAGTTTTATAATTATCCGTTATATCTATATAGGACAGATCAGGCGAGCAGAACTGAAGGACTTAAGTAACAATTATGTATACAGTGTGAAGTGCATAAAAATTCACGAAGATTACATGGTAAGTGGCTATGGTTTCGACGTTGCGTTGGTGAAACTGGCCAGACCTGCTATATTTGAACCCCGAAAAGTCTGGCCTGCCTGCCTTCCAAGTCAAGGAGATCGCGTTGACATAGGGAAAGAATGTTTTATTACCGGTAAGTTTCATTTTGAACTTGTAGTTGTAATCTTAAGTTTACTATGAGAAGATTCTGATTTGTTTGGGAGCCTGTATTTCCAAGTTTACTTTAAGAAGATTCTGATTGCTTTGGGAGCGTATGTCCCCAAGTCTGTCTGTAACCATACTCGTAATTATTTATTCCAATTAATCAAAATCAAAATCAAATTAAAACTTACACTAGCCGCGTATAGCGTAGGCTTATCCAGGCGGGCATTGCAGACATTAGACTTTCGTTTCGCTGTCTTCCGATCTCGTCAATCACTGGCACGAGATCAGACAGAACTGTATTTAGTTATTATTTAGGTATTAGCTATAGGGTATATTAGGTAGGTTCACAGGGTCTAATTGTTTTTCCTATGGCGTCCAAGATGTCTATGTTCGACTTCACCATTTTCTCAGGTATTAAAATAACGTGAATTGAAACAAAACAATAATCCAAAATTGTAATGGAATGTGAAGAGGCACTGACTTAGTAATGATGCTCATGAATTATGATCTAAGCGAGCAATGAAGAGAATGTAGAAAGGCGGACGACAGACTCTGGGTAGCCCTAACTCCGAACATAATTTGTTAACATAGCAATTGTCTCACTCCTAACAATTACTTAAAAC